AAATTACCAATTAAGGGAGGGCAAAAAGGCCAGATCATGACAAAGATTAAGAGAATATTACATCTAAGGAGAAATAATGATGAACCAAATTTGAAAAACATTCCTGGTAAGAAACAAAGGGAGAGGTAAAGAGAAGTTTGTGACACAACTAAGGTTGGAAATTGACAGGAAAGAAAACACTAAACATCATCAAATAAGGATAATTTAAACCAAAAACTGACATTCCAAACAAAAGTATAAAAAAACATGATTAAAAAGATCAACAAGTTCTTACCTGCTGTCCCGAAAGGTGAAGGTTTGAAAGGGAAGAGTTGCACTTTTTTAGTGTAAGTATTGGTGACTTTACACATCATTGACTTTTTAAACTTCTGATGAAGCTCGGACGTTGGAAATGTCACAGTTGCAAAACAAAATGGTGGTGAAATCACTATGCCTGAATATATTCCCTCTTTACCCTGATGCGACCACACCACCTTATGTCTGCAGTCTTCGTACTGCAGGACAGAGCAGTTCAAGATGAACGAGGGACTGATGATCTGCTCAGTTACTGTTAAAGGTCAGAATTTAAGAAAACAAAACAAGGGATTAACTTTAAAATTCTATTTTTTACTTTGTTGCAATAGGATGACTAAGCTTCATAAATTGACTTTATTACTTACTCTCAATAATAGACAAAAAGAAGGACTGGTCATCTTTCTGTCCTGATACATTTTGTCTGCAGGTGTAAATGCCAACATCTTCGGCTGTGACTGCCTTTATAACCAGAGAACAGTTTCCTGTAAAACTACGTCTGTCAGATCTAGAGATCGCTCCACTGCTTGGCTTTTTGAACAGTATTTCTGATTTAGGCGATCTGAAATGACTAAAGAGCCACTCTGTAGACACAGAATCATTCTGACAATCACTGTTTCTACAAGCAAAAGTTACTTCATCTCCATGGGTGACGGTGAAAAAAAATGGTTCTGTCCCGGTCGCTGCTGTTAAAAGAATGACACAGAGTACATTAATAACATGACTGCAAGGCTTGTGCAGTGATGTTTGCAAAATTTAAACCAATTCAGTTACCTGTAAGCTGAAGCAGGAACATCAGGAATAAAAACATTTTAACTTCAAACTGCAGCCGTTCCATCGCTGTGTCTTATTTTTGCAAATGATTCATTCTCTCCTGATAAAAAAAAAAAAAAATGAATGCGTATTTGCTTGTCTAGTTTCACTTCCTCAGTGACTTCACTATGTTTTTCCCCTCTCTTATTTGAGAGCACTCTGTTTATAGCAACAGGGTAAAACATAAAAAAAATGTCTAAAGATTTGTTGATAATAATAAAAAAATATTTGATGTTTTTTAAAAGGATATGGTATGCTACTAAAAAAAAAGGAACAGGCATCAGATCATTCACAATACTAAAATCTGCTGTATCCTTGTTTCCCCCTGAAGAAGAGGACATGCCATCATGCGCAAACAAGGATTATTCTTCTTGTTCTTCCTCTCAGATGAAAACACAAATGCATGGCGGGGGTGTGAGTGAAGTGGAGTTCTTTCTGTAAAATTGACAGACCGTCGTAGCCACGTTTGCTCAGACATGTCTTTGTCCAAATACGTCGTTGCCTTTTTTATTTTAGGCCTTTCAGCACACAAAATTGCACAAATTGCCAAGGAAGAGCATTTCACTCTAGTGAGCTTATATTCATTTGGCTTGCGGATTGATGAGTCCAAGTAGCGCCATCTCACTGCAGAGCTGAGTCTGACGTGGTTTTTAGTTGTACATTGTGAGCAGGTAGACTGCATCACAGTGTTGGGTCGCACAGTGTGAGAACATACATTGTGAGCTGGGAACTCACACTGTATGACGAAACCGCAGGTGGTCATACAGTGTGAGCTGTAGCTGCGTGCAACAACTGAAAAAATCACACAGTGTATGCCCGACTTTAGTGCAGCACTGGTAATAGGCTTTCTAAAGACGAAAGAGCAAAACATGCTCCCTTCCATTTTGTTCTCTATTGTTTCATTTTTTTTATTTATGTCGCACTGACATATAAGCATAATATATACAGTTTGACATCAGAAATTATGTAAAGAATAACATTTGCTTATAAAAAAAATCCTACTGGCAGGAATTAGGTTAAATAAAGCTGTGTAATGTAATCTGCTACTAAAAGTCTCAAAATACATAAAATACAGTTTGATTTTCTATCACAAACTTACAATTGGATAGAAATTAAGAATCAAAATGAAAAATGTCCATTTCCTTGCCACTGTCCATGGTTCCATTTATTGATGCATATTCTAGATTTCCTTAAGAAAATATTTAAACACAAACCGTTTTGTGTCCTCTCTACTTCCCCTCCAAGTTGCAGGGTTGGTATTGTTCAAAATTGAGTAAATTCTTTCCACTGTTGCAACATGATTGTTTAATAAAAGGGAAATGATGAAGTGATCAACTGAGCCACTTGTTTACCAGATGTAAACTGGATTATGATTTATCACCTTAATCTAACTTTAGCATTGTGAGACTGGATTCAATTTGATTATTTTCATTGAAGGTCAAAAAATACATTAATATGTTATGTTTGTTTATTTTATTTTATTTGTTAAGAAACTCTGTGATGGACTGGACTCGCCTATTAACAGCTGGAGATAGGCACCAGCACCCCTCGCGACCCCAATTGGGACAAGTGTGTCAGATAATGGATGGATGGATGAATGTTTAGAAACTGGATTGATCTGAATTAAATCAGGACTTAGTTATAAGTAGAACCAATGTGTCGAAACAGCATTATATTACATCCACTTTGAATTGACCTGATTTAAAAGCAGATGAAAAGAATAAAAGAAGGAAATCTGATGTAAATTTTAATTCAGCTTCTTTTAAAGAATTTATTTAAACACCATAAAATAATGCATGAACCATTGTTAAATAATGACACTCGAGCTGTAAGTAGGGACTGTCACAGAGCTAAATAAAAAGCAGAAAATTTACAGATGCCACTCCAAATATTAAAGGTATGCTGGCGCCATTACCAAAGGACTGTAAAAGAAAACACCTCTCAGATGTTGCAAAAAAGTTGAAAAACAATCCACTGGACTTTGTTTCCAAGTTTGAAGAAATATCCCTTCCCATCAAGGAAGTTTTTTCAATTCAAAATGTCAGAATTAGCGGTGAGATCCAAGCTTTATAAAGTATCCCAAACAAAGCCTTGTTTTGGCTTAGAAAACATGCAAATTGAACCGGAAGAATGGGTCCGCCCCTTAGTAATGGGGAATCGTTGAGATCCCTTTGGACATTTTATGCAAAACCTTATCT